GTTTGATTTCAAATGTAATTATAAAGAAATATTTATTCAGAGCTTATATGTACAAGGCACTCTGCTAAGTTATTATTAAATGGCAAATAAAACAGAATTAATCCCTGCCCTGAAAGAGCTTTCAGCAGAGGAGGGGAGCCACACCATAAACAAAAATACAAACACACAAATAAATCTGAGCACATATTAAGAAACAAAATGAGTATATACTGGCAGAAAAGTGTCCTTTACATAGCATGCTTAGAAAAAGCCTCTCAAAAAAAGTGACATTTAAGATGAAATTTGAAGGATGAAAAGAAGCCAACTTGCAAAGAACAAGTGGGCGAACAGTCCAGATAAGAGGTAGGAATGTGGCAAATGCCAAAGGCAGGAAGAAACTACCATGCTTTGTGGAATTGAAACAAGGCAAATGTGTAGACCATAGGGAAGAAAGGAAGAGTGGTAGGAGATGAGGTTAAAAATATATGCAGAGATCAATTCAAGTAGGGCCTTTATGCAATGTTAAGTTTGTATTTAAGTGCCATCCAAAAGTCCTGTAACTTTTAAGCCAGAAAGTGACATGATTTGATTTTCATGCCACACCTTCTGTAAGGGAAAAACAATGAATTTAGACAAGGGATCAAAAGGAGTGTAAGTGTGAAAGCAGGAAGCACAGTTAGGACTATTACAATAGTGCTACTCAAATTATGTGTGGTTAAGAATGAGTTTTTGTTTTCATTTTAAATTCCAATCCACAGCAGTAACAATGAATTTCTAGAAAAAGGATCATGTGCTTAGATGCTATGACAGTATTTTACCTTCCATTTCTATATGTATCTTGTTAGGGACCAGAAATAAAAAGGCCACAGACTGACACTGGTCTGCAAACCACACTTTAAGATGTACTGGTCTACAAAAATAATGATAGTTTCAACTTGAGTCATGGTAGTGGAGTTAAAGAGAAATAGACGAATCTGGGCTACAGAAAAGGGAAATCTGACAGAACCCACGTACATACATAGATAAGGAAAGAAGGAAACGCGATGAGTGAGAAATAAGTCCTAAGTTTTTTACATAAGAAACAGAGCTGATGGTAGTGCCACTTATTTATGAAGCAGCAGAAGAGTGTAGAGTAAGAGATCTCAGGGAAAATATCAAGACAAAAATGTTTTTTATTTTAGTATGCTGATGGCATGTCCGAATGTTACACAGACAGTTAATGTAAGATTCTAGAGATAAGAAGTGGCGTTTATATTGGAGATAAAAATTTGGAAATCATCAGCACATATGTTTAAAACTATGAAATGAGAGTAGAAGTACTTCAACCAGTACCTAGGTTACAAATTGGATGATTGCCTAGCACTAGAAATCTGTGTAAAATATACAGGGGCTAACTCTTTTAATCTCACATGAGTGGTATTAAGCACATAAACTAGAGCTATAGGCCAATTATCTCAGAAGATCTATGAGTTAGAAGAATTAAAGCTGAAGAAGTAAAGTATGCACTGTGTATGCATTAGAAAGAGGGGAGAAGAAAGATCGGGATATGTGTAAGAGATTTAATCTGGCTATAAAAAGGAAATGACAATGAAGTCCAGGACTTTGGCTTATCAAATGCTTGTATTTCTAAATCCATTGGAAAATATATGTCTCGTGTTAGTTATAGTCCCTAAATGAACTTTTAGAGGCCGGGAATTTTTAGAGGTTTCAAAGTTTAAAGTGTTTAGCTGTAAACAACTTAAAACATTACATTTACCCAGGGACTTGTCTGGCACAAGAGCACTAAATAAAAAATATTTGATGAAAAGGGAAATAAAAAATTTTAAATGGTCAAAAATGGAATTCCACCCTTGATTTATCTCAAGGAGAGAATAGGAGGTTCAGTTCCCCATTTCTAAATGGTCTAAACTCTAACCAACAAACAACAGTTATAATTCTATAATCCTTCATCTTATACTGCTAGATATATTTTGGACACTCCTATTTTTTCAGATTTTAAAAAGATAATACAGGTGAACATGCTAGATATTAAACAATATCCCCTTAAAACTGGGCTGCACCCCATAAGCAGATACATTTAACATCTCTGCAACAAAATAATAATACACTAATCAGGACAAATAAAGACTTCAAACTATTACCATCTATTCAAATAAGGTCTTACTGCCAAATAAGAGCTAAAAACTTAATTTCTTTTAGAATGGAGAGTAGAATTGTGGAACTACGAATGTCAAGTAGTTAAGTGGAAAAAGAAAGAGGAGAATTTTCATGGATGAATATCAGAATATCTGAGATACAAAGAGGCGTTAGTTCAGATTAATTTCCATCAGTTTAATCTTCAGTGTACCTTGGCAGAGTAACTGAAAAAGTATGATAGAATATTAAGAGTTGAAAAAGACTCAGAACCCCTTTACATATGATCTTCCACTACATCACATAACTGGCTAGTAAAACCTAGCCCCTTTAACTTCATTTTATCACAAGCACACCAGAACAAAATCATTTGTGTAAGTATCAGTGCCTCCCCCAACCCCTTTTCCTTAGTATGCTGATTTTGAGAAAATGTGAAATGGAGACAATTTTACATCACAGAACACAAAACTGGGTTAGGATCCTCAGGTGGTGATTTTTCCCTTTTTATACCATTTCTGATTTCTCATGAGATCTTCTTTAGATTGATAATCCATAACCTCCCATCCCTCCCTTTCAAAGAAAATAAACAATTCTGTATCTGTGATTCGACTGCCTCCACAACATTTCTACATTGCATAAGTAGTATTCTTTGGGCCCAAGCACATCTGTCCATATCTATTTCCTTCACTTTTTTCTTCCTTCCTGTAAAAGGCTCCTTTAGCTTCTCCTAGTTTGTGGCAAAGAACCTAGTACTGGGAAGGCATTCAAACAGTATTTGTTGAATTGAACTGTTCCTCCTTACAATCTAATGATGGCTTTTGGTATAGTCATCTCTACCTCAATTACATACAATCTGCGCTCCTCTTTTCCACTCCTACTCAAACATAGAAATGACAAAGATCTCAACAAACCCACTATCCAAAACAAAAAGGAAATACTAGCCATAAGGGCAGTATGGATGCGTCGGTTCAGGACATAGTGAAATTGACTGCAAAATCATTCCAACATATGCCCCACATAACCTTAATACCATACTTTTGAAGTGCTTCCAGAAATAATATTTATAAACTACATAATTTTAGAATTTGCCTATGTGCAAACATATTGTGAATAAAAAGATATCCAAGGACATTGGTACTTTGAGACAGGAGTCTTCCAACCTCCTCATTTGCCGGCAAATAAACTCCTCTTTCCTTTTCCTCAAAAAAAAAAAAAAAAAAAAAATCCCAATCTTTATTTTCTTCATACTCACTTTCAACAGCACTGATGGGGTTAAAAAAAAAAAAAAGGTGGGGCGGCATCACACTGAAATTATGCTAAGTGTAAAAATAAAACAAACACCAAAAACCAAAATCAAACTCGAAAGACCTCATATAAATACAGTGTTGGTATCTACATGCATATATAAAGATAAATCTTTTTAGGTACTAGGAAGAGGGAGGAAACTCTTTCCATAATAACTTTAATACTACCATTGTTTAACACATTTTTAAAAAATGGTACAGAATTGTATGTGCTCAATAACACAGATATCTGAAATTGCAAGCATCAAAGGAGCGTATCAGTCCATTAAAATTATAATTCTGTGCTTTTGTTGGAAAAAAATTCACATCTGCATGTACTTTCATCGAACTAGGAAAGAGAATTGGTGAGAGGATGAAAACACATAAACAGCCTATTAAAACATCTGTATAAAGTCTTAACCAAAATAAAAACATTTTCTTAAAAATTTTAACTCTTCAACTATACTTAGTCAAGTAAATGTTCTTATGCTATAACTTCATTATTCAAAAGCATAGTTTTTTATAATCTATTTTATCAAGGATCTTTGAATCAAATTAGGGAAAATATTATAGTAAAGAATACTACAAAATCCAGTTGAGCTATTTAATGCACTACAGGAAAATAAATAGTTCAACGTGGTTTTCATTTTAACTTCTTTATGTTTTTCTAAGAATATAAAGGTTTATTAATGGTGTTGATTGAAGTTTAACAAGCATTTTACATACATTATCACAGTTTTGAGATCTGCTTAAGCAATACTGACAGTCTGAAGAAAAATAACTTTTCAATGTATTTTAAGTAAAATTTCAATTTCTTCAAAGTATTATACATACCAAAAAAAGGGGGCACTGTTACCATCATTCGAAAAGAACAAAAATCAAAGTTTTATATTTTTACCTGGTCTTGGTACTGGCTGGGCTGCAGGAGTCTGAGTCTTACGGGCAGATGCACCCTCCTTTAAAAGAATTAAAATTGATATGTGACATCAAAGTTCCTTTACATAATAGTTCAACACTTTAATTACTGTAAAGAAATCTCTTATCTCTCACTCTCTTTCTGCTTCTCTCACTCAGTTACTTCACTGAATGTGCTATGACCCTAAGAGTTGTTAAAAAAAAAAAACAAAACTCTCCTTATCTTTTATGCTATTAGTCATGAGACAGTAATAGAGATATTTAGTAGAAAATAAATTTAAATAGTTAACATACAGTAGTTACTGTAAGAACATAATTTTTTAATGATTTGCTTAATTGCTGACAATTTTAATATTCTCAGAAATATCATTACCTGTTTTAAAATGAAGTCAACCTTTTTCCCTTAAACCATCTCAAAACGAATAAATGATACATAACCTCATGTTAGAAAAATATAAATGTTACTTTGGAGTTCATAAAAAAAACACAAGCATTTCAAATAAATGCTTCTAAAATAATAAAAAAAATCACGTTTATAAATACGAGATTTGTTACATTTGAATTAAGAGCAGATGAGAGTATCTTAAAAACCAAATAACAAATCTCAACTAATTACTGAGCATGTAATATGTACAAGGAAATATGCTAAGTGTTGAAGTATATCAATTATATACTCAGGAACAGATGCCTTTGAAATGCTTAAGAAACGCAAAAAGTCTGTCGTTAGTGCAATAGTTTCTATCATTCACACTAATTTTTAGTAACACATTTTTCTTTAAAGAAAGCTGCAAATGAAAAGTTTGTAACAACTATGAATTCATAAAGAGTTTATTCTAGTTGTACTAAACAGAAGGAAATTTGATGAATATCAGGGAGTTACATGAGTCCATATTATAAAAGTCAATATCAGCATCACAGGAAACATTTCCAAGGAAATATTGCTAAATAATATTTATTGTCATTATACTATATTCCTGTCAAAAATTTGAGATTTTACATAGTAAAATCATTTCCCCACAGTATATTTTTTAAATAAATGACTATTAAAATTAGTACCAACAGAAAAAAATATTTTCACTTCAATTTAGAAGCAAATACAGTGCTTAGGTATTCCTAGCATTCAGTTAGAATGTCACAGAAACCATTCTTTATTAGAAGAAACAATAAATAGCCACCGTGGCAACTAGCAAAAACTCCCTGAAGTTAAAAATAAATAAATAAAAAGCACCTGAGGACAGTAAAATATTTTTTTCCAGTATTCTCATTATTATGCATTTAGTTATATACTGCTATATTTAATATTCAGTCATTTTGTGTGCTGGTTTCATGGATGTATTATTTGTAAAAATTCATCGATCTTACTTAAAATGTGGACATGTTTCTCCAAAGCAAAAAAATTTAAACATAAGAAAAGGTGAATCATAATTAAGGTGGAGAGCATATCAAATATTTAATATCACTATAATGTGAGGAAATTTTCTGATTATATTTGTTTCTAAATTCATGTTGGGGACACATAACCCCAGTGCCCAGAGCGTAACAGGCACTCAACACATGTTGGTTGAACTGAAGCGCATCTAGATTTTTAAAAATCAAAAACCAAGGAATAATCATTAAATAGGAATCCAATTAAAGAAATGTTAGCTTTTTATCCCAAGTTCCTGTATAAAGAGAAATCAACCAGACATTATGATAAAATTAATATAGTGAACTTTAATCATATTACTTATCTATTCTAATATGTATAATAAATACTGTCTCCTGGGAGTATGGTCTAATTGCAAATATAAAGAGAGGAAAAATAAAGGAAATGAGACAAGAAGAACAATGAACAAACACATATGCAGACATCTTCTGTCCATATTTGACTGTAAATCTGGATAGAACCAAATCAAAGACCTTCTTATTTTGGAATAGAGTGGACTAAGTTCAAAATCACCAGAATACAGCATTACGTGCATATAAAAGAACTACACAAACCAAAAGTGATCCACCTGACTACTGAAATATACCTATAATATTAATATATGACCAAAGAGTATGGCTTTTATAACATGGGTCAGGCAAAAGGCACAATCATACATCATAAGTAATGCAAAAAAAAACCTTTTCCATTACAAATTATAACCCTTAAGAATTTTTGTGTACTTTTGAATAAGTTCAAAACCTGATCCCTTTAAATACCAATATTGGGTATTTTCTGTTTGTGCAGTAAGCAGTCTTTGCTTGAAGACCCAACCACTCCTTTCTGGCAATAAATCCTATTGCCTGGTCACTGGGGAAGGCATATGTTATAGACTAGGCCAATCAAGTGTCCTTCTTCCCTCAGATTACTTTTTTATAAACTAGAGCTAGATGGTAAGGCTCATACACCACAAGGCTACAAGGAGATAGGCCTAGAATTACTGATGATCACGTCCCTTCACTCATAGAGAAAAACTTACTGGCAGAAGGAGAGAATGAAGCTAAAATGCAAGAAAAGAGGTGGAATACAACATCCCTTATATTAGGTTATTAAGTATGGAATGTCCGATTTCCTTAAGTACTAAGTTTGACAGCTGATATCTCTGACATTTCACTTTGACACTTCTTGGGGTTTTTTATTGTGAAGGTACATCCTCCTTCTTTCAAATGCATTTTGGCTTGTGATTATCTTTCAAATTTTTTTAGAGTAATTTTTGTGAGCCCATGGATAAGTCAAAAATTCATACTATTTTTGAATATGAGTTCCCTTCTGGAACCAATGCAGTGCAGACAATTCGAGATATCAATGAAGTGTTTGGGAAGGATGTAGCTAATGAGTGTACAGTACGTTGATGGCTTGAGAAGTTCCATTCTGGTGATTTTAATCTTAAAAATGAGCCATGTAGGTGACCTGAGAACAAGGAGGACAATGATGAGCTGAAAGCTGTAGTGGAAGTGAATCCATCTCAACCTACGCAAGCATTAGCATCAAGGTCTGACATTACTATGCCGACAACATTGGACCATTTGAAACAAGCTGTCGGCAAGCTAAAGAAGCTGGATAGATGGTTCCACACGAATTAAACAAGCGTTAGAAGAGAAATCATCTCAAAGCTTGGCTTTCTTTGCTGTCATAACATAAAGGCGAAACATTCTATACCATATCATTACATGTGATGAAAAATGGGTTCTTTTTGATAATTGCAAGTGTTCAGCACAACGGTTGGATGAAGATGAAGTGCCGAAACACAGTCCAAAACCAAATATTCAGCACAAAAAGCTAATGGTGTCGGTTTAGTGGTCCAGAGCTGGTATTATCTCCTACAGCTTCATGACACCTGGTCAACTGATTACAGCAAATTCACCAACTGGATGTAATGATGAGGTCGCTCGTGATTAAGCAGCCGAGATAAGTCGGCAGGGACAGGCCAACCCTCTTGCAAAATAAGCTCAACCACATGTCACACAAATAACGTTGCTCAAACTAGAGCAGCTGGACTTGGAAATGGCCACACACTGTATTTACCAGACCTTGCACCAACTGACTACCACTTCTTCCAGGCTTTGGACCACTCGCTGCAAGGAAAAATATTCAATTCTCAACAAGCTGTGGAAAGCGCCTTTTGCAATTTCATTGCCACTCGCCCAGGCTTCTTCGCTGCTGGCATAAAAAAGCTACTGTTAAGATGGCAAAACTGTGTTGGTAGTTTAGGTACATACTTTGATTAACTGTACTGCTTCTTGTTTGAAATATAATATACCACATTTTTGATTCAAAATCAGACATTTCATATTTAATAACCTATTACCCACTGTGTAGTTCTAGTGGCCTGCAAGGCCTACTTTATCCCAAACCATTCTTGATTATATGAGCCATTAAAACTCCCCATCTCACCACTGTACACACCCCACATACACCTTTCTGCTCTCAACAGGTTGAGACAAATTTCTGTCAGTTGTCACAGAAAGCATTTTATCTAATTATCTTCTTAGATTTACTGAAAATCTGAGTTGTCAAAGTCCCTGCAGTACTATCACGTTGCTTAATTTTTGAGTTAGTACACACATACACACACAGAGAGAGTTATACAGCTATGACACAACAGCAGACAATGAGCTTCTTGAAAGAAAATTGGGAAGATCCTTGCTTATCATGTCATTAGTTTACAGCTATTTCTAGGACGCCCTAGCTAACACTACCCAAGAGTTAAAAGCACATTCTACTCTGATTTCCATTATTTTGAAATGAAGTTGTAGAAGTCACTGCATAAGGGACCTCAGAAACACATAACACAATCCCATCCCGCTCCACTCTAAAGATGAAGAGACAAAAGTGAAATAGTTTTTCAAAGGCTACACAACAGTACATCCGCATGTATTAAGAAATAGGAATAATAACTTGGCAGTAACATAGAACAGACTGACAGTTATATGTTAAAGATATTTGGATTGGGGGAAAAAATACTACCCAGCCAGGAAAAGAAAGGTATCAGCACAAAACCACCAAAAGAGCTGACAACTTGTGCTAACTCGAGAGGAAAACTTGCTTTCTCTTGAAAAGTCAGGAGCATTACAATTCACCAAGACTTGAGGCATTCTGGAAAAGAAATAACTGAATTAAAATGGAAGGGGAAAATAGTGACAGAATTGTATTTGCAAAGCATAACAAGACAAAACAAAGTATGCTGCTTACAAGCAATCCTTGCTTGCCTTACCTTAGCAAACGAGATAATCTAAAATCTTTTGGTACTGGGAGACAAAATACTAGTATCTGTTGCTTAAACAAATAGGAAAAAATATCTAATACTATAAGAAAAAAAGTATTTGTAGTAAGTGTCAGTATGAAAAAGAATATACTATATTTAGTTAATTTTGAAAAGTTCTGTTTACATGAAACAGTGAAATACTGAAAACTCTTAATGGAGAAAATACACAGAATATACATGCAGACTCTTAGAGTTTATAATCCACTTTTCTGACTGTTGTATTAATGAGCAAAAGTCACATGTTTTAAAAATTACATAAATATGAACTATACCCTTGTATGCCTTTGCCTTTATTGAAAAAGTAACTTATT